CAGGGAAGTTCTACAAACTTCAGGAATATTATTAAAACTTTAAAGATGTGCTTCAATCTTCAGAGAAGCTCTATAAACTTCAGGAAAATTCTGCCGACTTCAGGGACGTTTTGTGAGCTTCTGGGGAGTTCAATGTCGTTCTGGTAAGTTCTACGAACTTCAAGAGAATTCTGTGAACTATAGCAACATTATATGAATTTCAATGATGCTCTGCAAAAAATTCTTTAAACGTGAAGAAATTTTGGCAAACTTTAGGATGGTATGTGGAAAATTTAATAACCATATTGCATGTATTTAGATGCATATTGCTTGTCCGGGGGCTACCATATTGGATTTTGGTCCACCATTTTAAATTACAAAATGGCGGTAGATGTCAATTTTACACTTCCCCTCATCGAGCCCCTTCCGTAGATACCCATATTGCATGGGTTTAGATGTATATTCCCTGTCCGGGGCCGCCATATTGGATTTTGTTCTGTGCCATCTTGGATTCCAAAATTTCGGTGGATGTCAATTTTCCACTTCCACTCATCGAGCACATTCCGTAGATACCCATATTGCATGGGTTTAGATGCATATTCCCTGTCCCGGGGCCACCATATTGGATTTTTTTCCGCCATGTTGCATTCCAAAATGGCGTCGGATGTCATTTTTATACTTTCACGCATCGAGATGGGTTTAGATGAATATTCCCTGCCCGGGGGCCGCCATATTGGATTTTGTACTGTCATCTTGAATTTCAAAATGGCGGCGGATGCCAATTTTCCACTTCCCCTCATCGAGCCCATTCCGTAGATACCCATATTGCATGGTTTTATATGCATATTCCTTGTCCAGGGGCCGCCATATTGGATTTTTTTTCCGCCATCTTGGATTTTTAGGAGCCGTCTTGGGTTCAAATACACCATTTTAATTTCATCCGGAATGTTGACTTGAATTTCGGAATTGCCCAAACTCTAGAATTTCACATATCTTCTAATCCTATGATTTTCGATGATTTTGATCTTGGTTGATATTTTTTTTTTTTCGGTTTGTTTTTTCCGTCGATCTTGTTTTCCGTGCTGAGCACCAATGCTACCGACGCCATGAAGGCAGCTCCCACACCTGGACCATACCTATCGACCCATCAACTCATAAACCGGAGACCAACGGCTTTACTTCCCTTCCAAAGGAAGGCGTGATCAGAGATGTTATGCCTCAGAACATCCCGGCGGCGCCGACTGGGATTGAACCCAGGCCTACTGGGGTGAGAGGTAATCACGCTTACCACTACACCACCGGCGCCGTTAACTTGGTTGATATTGATCTTGGTTGATTTTGAGAATCGAAAATCACGGCTGATATTGGTCGAAAATCACGTGTGATTTTCGTGGTGATGATGGCTTGTGATATTGGTGCCTGTGATTTTAGGTGATCTTGATCTTGAAAGATTGCTGATTTTGATTTTCTGATCTTGAGTATAGCCAACTCTGGTTTTGTATCATCAATAGTTCGTATACGCCTTTGTAAACGACTAAGTATACTTCAAAACACTTTTTCTCTAAAAAAAACCAAGATGAAAAACCACAGATTTGAAACCACAACCATCACAGATTTGATTGTTAGGATCAATGCTAACATCTTGTGAAGAAAAATATGAGACATAGCGTGTGGTGGTGAGTGCGTCAAAAACAAAGTACATGCTAGTAGGCGGAACCGAACATGACAGGATTCGTCTAGGAAGTAATGTCACGATAGACGGGGATAATTTCGAGGTAGTGTAGGAATTCGTTTACCTTGGATCCTTACTGACGGCTGACAACAATGTGAGTCGTGAAATACGAAGGCGCATCATCAGTGGAAGTCGTGCCTACTACGGGCTTCAGAAGAAACTACGGTCAAAAAAGATTCACCCCCGCACCAAATGTACCATGTACAGAACGCTAATAAGACCGGTGGTCCTCTATGGACACGAGACATGGACTATGCTCGAGGAGGACCTGCAAGCACTCGGAGTTTTCGAGCGACGTGTGCTAAGGACGATCTTCGGCGGTGTGCAGGAGAGCGGTAAGTGGCGGCGAAGAATGAACCACCAGAAGGTGGCCAAAGCCGGAAGGATGCGGTGGGCAGGGCATGTTGCAAGAATGCCGGACAACAACCCTGCAAAGTTGGTGTTCGCTACTGATCCGGTTGGCACAAGAAGGCGTGGAGCGCAGAGAGCACGATGGGCGGACCAGGTAGAGCGTGATCTAGCGAGCATTGGGCACGACCGAGGATGGAGAGTGGCAGCCGCAAACCGAGTATTGTGGCGTACTATTGTTGATTATGTCTTATCTTAAATGTGATGTTGTACAAATAAATGTATGTATGTATGCGTACTAAATTTGTAGTAATTTTTTTCAAAGAGAAAGTTGATGAAGAGAATCGATCAAAATCACTTGCACCCCTGCTTCCAAGTTTGGTTACTAGATTACAACTCTCTCTACTGTAATAAGCTTGTTGGCCCTGAAAAGAGCCGTTTTGTTGCCAAATTTGGTGATGTTTAACCTCCGAAACCGTACAAAGTGCGCCTATTGCTTCAAAGCGTAGACGACATCCATGGGCACTTACGCTTGGCGTATTCAGAGTAGGTGACAGCATCATGGATCACATTTTCCAGGAACACCTTCAGCACACCTCGTGTTTTTTTTTTCGTAGATCAGACAGAAGATACGTTTGACCCCGGCACGGCGAGCCAGACGACGGATGACGGTTATCACGAAGAACCTTGTGATAACGCTTGGCACCTCCTTTACCAAGACCTTTTCCTCCTTTGCCACAACCAGTCATGGTTGCTTGTTGGGTAGAATAGTGGACTACTTAACCTACCACCACCTTCCTACTGCTGCTATTGCTGCTTGAGGCTAGACAACAGCGCTCTTTTATATCTTTTCAGGCTAAAACAGGATATTGTGCAACCAAGTGGTATTCGATTATGACGACTGGGTTTAGGAAGAACGTATATTTCATGAAAGCAGTGATAAAATTATCACTTTTTATTTGTACATTGGACAATGCTTGACATTACCACTTTTTCAATAAATTTTTGTTATTGATGCGTAGAAATATTTCTGATCGATTGGTGATAAAATTATTGAAATTGGTCCAGGGGCAGCTGAGCTATTAATGTTCAAAATCTTTCATAATTTTGTTACATGTTCCATTTTCGGTTTTCACAAAGTGTAACCCCAAATAGAAATCACAGACGTAGTCCTACGTCAAAAAATATTTTTCTATGGTCATAGAATCAAACCTATGACTATTTGCTACAACCACCAAAAGGCTGTTCCGCTGAGTCGGTTGAAATATTGATTCTTGATGAAACTCCTGTAATGTTTGAATGGAGAAGCTGATTTGATATTCGTACTCGATAGAAATTTTAATCAAACTGATTGTTTCCATAAACTGATAAAAATCATCCAACATATATAGTTCAAGGCATTTCAAAGTCTAATCAATACGATAAATCATCAAACGAATCACATTGAAAGCGAACTGCAGCAGCCTGTTTTAAAGCTCACGTGCATTCATAGCATAAAGCCATCGCACTGCGGCAGCTCAAATTAATTTTAATCACGCAATTTTTCGTCAATTTAGTAAGTAGTGTTCCTCCCACAAGCAACCCATTAAAAAACAACACACACGCAAACCACCCCCCTGGCGACGGCAACAACAATAATGAGTAGGCGAAGGCAATGACGGCTCCTCCGAAACAAAAACATTGACGGTCAAAGTCACCGCTTGCTGCTGCTGCTGCTGTTGCTGCAGATAGTGATGCGTGATTTGAATAAATTGTGTCTAGACGAGCAGGGGACTGGGGTGTCGTTTTTTTCCCAACGAACAATCCCAGACTTTGTAACTACAAAACTTACACGCTACTAGGAAAAATCAGAACAAGTGCTATCGCTAACGACCTGCGCCAATATTTATTTTACAACCCATGACCGCAGTGTGGTGCCATGCCAAACCCATTGCAGTAGGTACTTAAAAGTAGGAAGGTAATTATCATTTTTGTACACGTGAAGGTTTTCCGCCTGACAGAGAAAAGACGGAATTTCTTCCAGTTCTCTTAGTAGGCTTCGTAGAGCATGCTTCGATGGAAAGAGGTCAACGCGTGTGTACGGAAGGAAGCTGAGAGTGGCTGCCACGCCGGGCCGCAGTCAAGGAGAGAGGGACCCGGAGCAGACCTTGAACTTTTCGAGAGGAGAAAAGGAAGAAAAGAATTTCTCATGTCTGGTTGTTCTGCAGGGTATGGATAAAAACGAGTAAAGGAGCATTTGCGATGGAAAAAAGGTCACCAGAGGCGTAATGGCGAAACGAGGGTCATCGCGGTGAGGAAAGGAATTAATTTCTCGGACGTGTAGATTTGTTCGCATGGTCAGGAGGTCAGGTTGTTCGGTTGAAGGACTGTACTGGAAGGTAGGCATCTCGGGCAAATTATACAGGACACGTGATGATAGCCATCGGATGAACAATGGCTGCGACGACGTCGACGACGATGGCCTAGTTGAGTTGCAGATACAGCTTGGAAATGAATGGTTCGGAAAATGGGTTGAGGAATATCTTGTTATGCATAACTCAAGAAAAAAGTGTGACACGACGTTGCTTGATTTAAAATCAGATTTGTCGGACAAAATCAAACAAGGCTCGAAAAAAGAATGGATGGCCATGGATAAAGTTTCATAATCCGTATGTGTCAAACCAAAAATAGTTCAGACATCCTTCGGCGTCATAATCAGCACAGAGTGCAAAGGCGAACCAGTCAACCGGTTCGCAGTAAGTCAGTCAGTCAGTCACCAAGCCAGTCCGCCCTAATCGAATATCTGGATAGGCAATAAGGAAGTCACAATGATGCCGGTCAGTGAGATTCAACGAGTCGCCGTACTTGTTGTGATGGGTTGCAAATCTAGTTAGCCTCTAGTTGTGGACTGTATTGTAACTACAGTGACGTCATTTAGTAGAAAAATCGTAGAAGGCCTTACCTCAGCCGCCATGAAGGCGAACGTGTTGACTCCGCTGATGAAGACGCCTACTCCGATCGAGACGATTAGCATGAAACCGGACAGGGTGAGGATGGCCGACAGGAGCGCAATCAGTCGAAAGTGGGACCATCCCGGGGTGGTTGGCGAAAAGGAGAGCTGGAAAAGAAGGAAACAATTGATTCAATGTTCTAGATATGAATTGCAAAGTTGGCAAAGATCAACCAATCTTTAATTGGTCGAGCACAGTTGATCAAATATGTTCTGTCATTCGTGCTCAGTTAGAGGTGTGGTTTTGCAACGTGATATAGTGGTTCAGTTTAATCTTTGATCTGGAGCCTGTTTTGGACCAGTGTGAATTTGCTATTTTATATACAGGCAATTGGCAAACCTGAAATATAGACTCAAGCTCCATGCTAAACGAGAACCGGCGCGCGCAACTCCGTTACCACAGAGACCCATGTTGATTAGAGGTAGTGTGTTGAACTTAGCTGTTTTCTATTTTGGGATTGGAATCGGTATTGCATCATATTCCGGACGGCATCAAGTTCATGAAACTTGATTGTTTACTAGATTGCAGCAAACATATGCAATGAGTTTGACATTAAAATGTAATTTCCACCTTGATTTAAATAGTAGTTCACCAATATGTTCCTTGAATTCTATGCAGATGGGTTGGAAATGATATTTTTCGATGGAACTTACCTGTTCTCAATCCATTTTGGTACAATAAAACTACATTAATCCATAAATGGTTCACTTAAGGAAATGGTTCATAATAGGCAATTTTATCCTACATCCCTTATTCTCAAAAATAAAAGTAGCGCTCCTAGCGAATCCATTTTAGCTGCCTTCATCCGTATGCCGAGGTGAATCCAATGACGTTTCAATGTGGTTGCACGGAATTGGAACTCAGACGACGGAATTAATCATTTTACCATGCTTCTGCGTTAATTTTCCCTCAGATTTCACTGCTGTTCTTCATGGCGACATCTATCGGAAATTACGCATAAACTTAGTTCCGTTAATTGTTAACAGAGGTCAGTGCGTGAAAACCCGTAAATTGATTGATGTGGTTTAGTGTCAAAAGATAAGATGAAAAGTGCAGTGACTTTTGCGTTTTAGCGGACTTAGCATAATGCTGTTGGAACAATTCATCCATCCATTTTATAAGCTTTAATTTACCAATACATAACATGAAATGCATTTATAACTGCAACAACTTGAAAACTAAATACGATAGGGCATCGTTTTCTTTCTAGCTTTTGCCGCGGGTATTCCGGATTTTCCAGGATCCCAGTTCAAGCTTCAGTTGGCTGCGGTGAGTCTTCTTTTCCTTCTACCACTTAATAGATAGTGCAAATAAGGGCGTCTGTTTTATGCTTTGCTGTACCTGTTGTGGACATTAGTACATCCTTTTCTTAAAACTTGTTGAAGACGCCATGTCTTTCCTCAAAAGTTATCCTTTTTAAAGCACTGACCTTCACAACATAAAAGGCCCCATTACGGACCATTAGATTTGATCAAATTATTCACAGTTCTATTTGTCCAACGCAGTTCTATTTGTGTGGATGAGGGGTAGAGAATAACACATTCACACTCAGTACATTTCCTATTTCTAAATTGCAAATCCAGAGATTTTCGAGGAATATTCCAAACTACTTCTGAAGAAATTATGGAGATTTATTGAACAAATTCTCGCAAGAATGATTAAGAATTCGAATATAAATTAAAATTGATATTCAAGAGTTTTCAGGAAGGAATTCCTAAAAAGTGTTGCCCGGAATTCCGAGACTAAGGCTTGTACTCGAAAAAAAAATGCACCATTTTTATCCGTGTGTAACTTTTTTATCCGTGGGTAAAAATTGATGAAAATCTGGGTATAACTAGTTTGGAGTGAATTGTTTACATGTGCAAAATTTCATAACAATTGGTTCAGTGGTTATTGAGATGTCATCGAAACAAGAAGAAAATCGCCGGAGAATTTTGCGCGCCTTCATGGAAAATCCGACTGCGACCATGAGATGGATCGGAAGACAACTGGGAATCACCCATACAACTGTGTCTCGGGTGGTAAAATCGTTTAAGGAGTCCCAGACGACCGAACGGCGGACTGGAAGTGGAAGAAAATCGAAGACAGCTGACCCTGTGAAGGCCCGGAAGGTGTTGGATTATTTCAAGCGGAATCCGAACCTTTCGATTCGCGCCGCGGCTCGAAAGGCAAAGTTGTCCGCCTGGTTCGTTCAGCAAACCATGAAACGAGCTGGGCTTCGTGTATTCAAGGTCCGGAAGGCACCGAACCGGCGTGATCAACAAAACACGGCGGCCAAATCCCGCTCAAGGAAGCTGTATCGAGAGTGGTTAACGAAACCGACGTGTGCGGTTATGGATGACGAAACCTACATCAAGGCAGACGCAAAGCAGATACCGGGGCTGGAGTTCTACATTGCCAAATCACGGTTTGATGTTCCGGAAGACATAAGGAAGAAGAAAGAGGACAAATTCACCAAAAAATACTTGCTCTGGCAGGCCATATGCCAATGCGGTGAACTGAGTAAACCGTACATCACAATGGGTACCATCAACAGCGAAATTTACCGCACCGAGTGCCTCCAGAAGCGTCTGTTGCCCTTTCTGCGGTCCCACGGAGGCGAGACATTATTTTGGCCGGACCTGGCATCATGCCATTACGCGCGATCGACGTTGGATTGGTACAGAGACAATAACGTTGTTTTTGTACCAAAAACCGCCAACCCCCCAAATTCACCAGAGATTCGTCCGGTGGAAAGATTTTGGGCCATAATGAAGGCCAAAGTTCGAAAATCGAAGAACGAGCTGGAGTTGAAGAAAGAATGGATGAAAGTGACCAAAAAGGTCGGCTCCACCATTGCACAAAATGTAATGAGGGGTCTTAAGGGAAAGGTGCGGGCTTTCAGCGATGGAAAGGAAATTGAATAAAGTAATTATGCCGAAACGTAATCCATATGTATTAGTTCATTCCCTGAAAGTTTCAAGAAAATCCGACTTAAAATAAATTTTTGGCGAACACTTTTGTCTGGTGCATTTTTTTCGAGTACAGGCCTTATTGTGTGAAAATTTCTATGGAATACCGAACAAACTCTTAAGACTACACACTAGGATTATTTCACAGATTTCTGTTAAATTTTACCGAAATCTCAACAGCTGAACGTTCGGTAAATAGTTCGGTAATTTTTGACAGATATTCTGTAAACAATTACAGAAAAACTGTGAAAAATCACCGAACTGTTCAACTGTTGAGATTTCGACGAATGTGAAATAATCATAGTGTGTGTTGAGGCAAATCCTGAAAGTAAAAGCAGTTCTGAAGACTTTTTGGAATGATCAGCAAATCCTTAACAAATTTGCAAAGATATCCAGATATGAGTTCTTAAGAAACAATTTAGTAAATTCAACCATTGAAAGAGTTTTCAGATTCCGTGCACAGAAATTCAAGAGCCAGCATTGACAAAAATTCTTAAGATTCCGAAACTTCGATTGAGAACCAATGGCAAGATCGTGGTCTTAGAAATTGAGATTGTGGGGCTAGGATCTTCAGAAAAGTGAACCGGTTAGTTATGTGAGATAAATCCTCTATGAACGTGCATTCAATGTCCCAGAAATTAAAAAAAATCTCGAAAATGTGTGGCAGATGGCTATTTTTTAAATATTCAAAATGCCAGACAAGAAAAAAATCCGGGCTTGAAGAAATATAAAAGATTTTAAGAGAAATATTCCAGATATCTGACTTAACATGCTTATTGACAGAATTCGGGGTTCAACAAAATATTGTAAGGATCCAATCAGATTCCCGGTAATTTCCCGGTTGTTTTTGATTCCCGGTTACTTCCCGGTTTTCGCGGATCGGATTCCAGATAAGCAATGTTCTACAATGTTCTAACTTTCGTTTTAAATGAACCTTATTCCTTACATAACCGGTATCATATACAGCACATTTCTGTTGATTTAAAATTCACTTCCTGGTTTTCGAAAACAGGAAAGACTTCCAGTCGCCACCACCGAAGAGGTGCTAAAATTCGCACTACTAATCTAACTGCCACCCGAAGCGTTAGTGCACTCTCCACTTCGTTGCAAACTTGTTACAAATCGTCTAACCGGCGTCAATTGAAGCTCAACTTCCTGTATGTGCTACCTCTGCCTGAGGTGAAATCTGTGTTAAGATGCGAGCTCACCTATTCATCCCTTTCGCGGCGGCGGCGGCGGCGGCGGCGGCGGCACCGGTACAGGTGACGTCTACACTTAACCGGTTAGTTAGCACCTTACAACGCTCACACGTACTGCAACAGCCAGCCATAGAACTGGAATTATTCCTTCAATAGCGCACAATTACAGACTAGACACCGAGCGACGACGTAAGCAGTGGCATTGAAGTGCGTGTAGCGACGACTACTACAGTCAACAGGTGCATTATGTGATTGGCTACAATCTAAGCTGTGTGCACGAATATAATTCTATTACAGAGCCGTTCCAGGCCAAATAGGAAAACAAACATGAATTTCAGACTCGACCTTCTCCGATTTGCGTGAAACTTTGCGTAATTGTTTGGTATGGGCAATCATTAAAAAATTTTGCAAAAATTCGGCCATTTTGAATCTGGAATATATAAGGCGCATTCGACATTTTTCAATAAATCGTAGCACGAAAACTTCACGTCCAAACGAAATTAAATCTGAGACAAAGTTGAAGGGATAAATAATGTCTATGTAGGAAAAATATACACGGTAGAAAAAATGACATTCACCACTATTTCAATAGTATATTGTTGAAAATCAATAGTCAAATTGCTATCGATGCGTGGAAATATTTCTGATCGATTGGTGATAAAATTATTGAAATTGGTCCAGGGGCAGCTGAGTTATTAACGTTCAAAATCTTTCATAATTTTGTTACATGATCCATTTTCGGTTTTCACATAGTGTACCCCCATCTAGAAATCACAGACGTAGTCCTACGTCAAAAATTTAAACAATAAAATTTCCTTTTCTCAATATTTTAGATTTTTTTTTTAATATTATGACTATTAAATTTTTTGAAATTATGATAAGTTTAGACACTAATAAATTGACAAAATCTTAAAACAAAAACTTTTGTTTAACGTAAAATATCAGACTTAAAGTGAT